CACACACCCATCGATACAGTCCTTCTGACACTAGATCTGCAGGGATTTCTCCCCACATACCAAATAGTTCTCCAGTGGACACCAGCTGGGTGTCCTATAATTCAACTCTGACATTATCTGTCTGGAGTTAGTGTCAGATCATAGGTTAAGGGTTCAGTCCTCCTCTTCAAATGTCATATGTGAGCCTCAGATTGTGACCTGTGCTTCTGATCAACTCAGGGTTCTCACGACCCCTTCTTCAGTTTAAATTAATTTACTAGGAGTGACTCACAGAACTGAGGGAAACTTTGTTTACTCATTTATTACAAAGGGTATTTTAAGGAATACAAATGAATAGCCAGATGAAGAGGTACAGAGGAGGAAATTTAGAAATGTCTCAACACTAGAGCTTCCATCCCTATGGATTTGGGGTGCAGCCTGTGGATGTTCTTGTTCACTAAGCCTGGATGTCTTTGAGCCCTGTCCTTTCCAAGTTTCATGGAGGCTTTTTATTATGTAGACGTGATTGGTTAAATTGTGGACCATACCATGGGTGATCAGTCTTCAGCCCTTTCCCTTCCCAGGAGGTTAGGGGATGGGGCTGATAGTTCCAACACTAATCCAGTCTTAGTCTTTCTGGTGACCAGCCTACCCCTCCTGAAGCTATCTTGGGGTTCCAACCACCAGTCATCTCATTAGCATATAAAAGACATTCTTCAGTTCCAAAGATTTTAGGAGCTCTTGCCAGGATTAGGAATAGAGACTAAATATTTCTTCATGTATTACAGGTTGTATTTGTGAAATTTCAGATACAATACTTAATGAACAATGTAAAGATTTTAAAGAGTAGTTTTGTTTTGTTTTTTCAAGAGTAGTTTTGATTCAATGGAATTTTCACATTGCCCCTGGATCTAGGCACCTGTCAGAAACTGCCCTTCCACTCTGAGTGTTCAGGTACATGTTGAAAAATTAGTGCTGTGACCAGATTGCAGGAATGGGAGAGCAGGTTCACCCAGCAAGTTTTGCCTGTAGTTTGTAGAAAAGAAATGCCACCTCCAGTTCACCTTTGTTTACAAAACCTTCCTTCCTTTACTATAAATGAACAACTTTTTTGTGCTACCATCTTGTTTTAGCACCTCATTTTAACCTTTGCTTTAGAATTAATCATTTATGTGTCTGCTTTTTCTCATTAGATTATATCCTTACTAACTGGCAGAGTATCTAGCTTGTAGTAAGGTTATATATTTTGATTGATAAGCACATTTTTGAGTTGCCAATCTCAAAAATTATATTTTCTCTGTTCAAATCACAAAACCTTCAGAATTAAAATATACTTAAAAATCATGCTTCATTTGTTAATTGGTAAAACATCGAATAAATTGTTGACTCCTTCTCTAGGCAATATTTTACTAAGCATTAGGTGGCAGTAGTGTGTTGCACTTGACTTTACCTTTGGAATTTTTTTTTTAGCTTTCATAATCTTAATGTGTTGTCAAAGTATAAAGTACACATTTTGTTCAACTTTTGTACCTAACTTTTTGTGACATGATCTTGTTTTAAGCAAATAGGCACCTCACAAAAACAAAATGAAAATAAAACACAACCATGTCAGTCAATGTATATTCCTCTTTTGCCTGTCTAAACTACATTCAGATTCATTAGAGAATTACTACTGCGCAGTCTTAACAGCACTTCCTTCCAACTGCTTAATGGCTGCTTCATAATAACAGTGATTTGCAACAATGAAAACCAAAAATTATCTCAGAGGATATGTTTTCTTGATATCCTAAGAAACTTACTTATACCTTTATCTCAAAAAATAATATATTAAGTTCATTGAACTTAACTACAATCATTAAATGCTTTTTTCTTTTTGTACTCATCAATTTCTACCAGTATTAAGGTCCCTATGTTATTTATTAAGTTTCACTTTAGGTGAATTTCCCTCATCATTAAATAATAAGAATTAAGGTTTGTCACCATCTCTCTAGCCATAAGTATTTAATTCCACCATTAATTTTGAGCACTCGTGTAATAAAATGTCAATGCTTTTTCTATACATTCCATTCCCACGGTGGTTTCCTATAGCTTATGAAATTAAATCAGTAGAAATTATATTTAAACAAAATTTTTACATTTTAGGTCCACAGGAACATTTCTATAAACAAAAGAAATATATGCCTTTTATGGGAAAGAGTTTTAGAGCTGATTCAAATATGAACTAAGTAGAGTTAATCTGTCACATTTACTTTCTCATGTCTTCTTTACTTTATTTTCTGTCTCAAGGTAAAGCACTTGAGGGAATTCAAAGCCAGTGTAGTAATATCATTAATATAGCAGAATGACCAATTAATAAAAGAAGAGTATGAAAGCATTGACAGAATGCACCATCTAATTTAGTACCTGATGATCGTGGTGGCCACAGAGCAGAGCTCCAAGTTGCTGTTAGGAGATGGCTCTGTAGGGTCTTTGCATGTACATCACCACTCTTACTTTGCGAGGATAACTTTAGCTTGGCATCAATTTTTTAAGTTCTTAATTATACAAAAAATACATCTTCCCTGACCCCAAAGAGCAGGAGAAGTCACCCAGTGCCCTACTAATAATTATCATTTGGGAAGGTTGGAGTCCGAGTGTTTATCTTGGAATTCTCTTTGTAGTTCATATTGGGTATGTTATTGAAGACTTACTTGATACAATTTGAGGAGAGGGACATCTTCCTTCATACTTAAATTGGCAATCATATAGCAAAAGAATTTGGAACATTTAAAATTGTTTTCATATCTTATATACAATTACAAAGAAATAGGAATTATGCTATATTTGTATAGTTGAAAGAGAAAAAAAACTCATGTTACTTGCAAAAGGAATTGATTTAAGATTATATTTTATAGTTAATAAGTGTCACAATTCAAAGTATATTATAGAGGTCAGTTTTTGTTTTGAAAGGTTTTGCTATGGATTGAATTATGTGAATACATTTCATTTTACCTCTTAACATTTTTTTATTCGTTGATCTAGTTCTTTGCAACTCTACCTCTTAATTTGAAAAACATCAGTATCTACCATAGATATTGCATGGCTTTGTTTTCCTGCGGTGTTCTTTAGACTCTTCCTTCCTCTGCTTATTCTTTCTCATCTTCTGCTCTCCAGTATCCCCCCCATCTGCCTTTTCCACTACCTCCTTTTCTTTCACTTCCTCTGTCTGTCTGTCCTATACTGCCCTCCTCGTACCTCAACATTCCTTTTTCTCTCCTACTTCTTCTTGGAGCTACCAGTAATCTTAGAATAAGCCTCTTAATTTGGTCTTCAGAGAAGTCAGTGTTGTACTGACATTTAACAGAAGTTTAAAAAATATGTTCAAAGGACCAAGGTCTCTTAAAAATATTAACAATATTAAAATGGCTCTTTGAGAGAATGGAGCCAATCACAGATTCTAGTAGGCCACAAGGATGTTCACTTACTCATATTGCTCTGTAAATGCAGCCGACTGTAATTATGCTGAAAACTTGCACAGCTCTCTCTCTCAGAAACATGGAACTATGTTGTGTGGTAACTTCAAAGGACTTACTCACCATGATTCCTTGGTAAATGCTGCTGATGTATTATATAGCCAGATTATAAATTCTACAAGAGCATATTCTTTTTGTCTGTATGTAGACTTTTTAAGTTCTTAGCTCTTCACCAACATTCCCAAAGGGATGTAGTTTATATAAATACTTAAAAATTGCAAATTTTCATTGTGTGTGTGTGTGTGTGTGTGTGTGTGTGTTATCATTCCTATCCAGAATAGGCAAGTCCACAGACACAGAAAGTAGATAAGTAGTTGCTAAGGGAGGAGGAACAGGAATAAGAATGACTACTGATGAGCAAAGGATTTTTTTTTAGGGATGATGAAAATGTTCTGTTATTAGATAGTGGTAGTGGTTGCACAACTCTGTTTAATATCCTAAAAAAAAAAACCACTGAATTTTACAACAGAAAAGGGTGAATCTTATGATATGTGAATCATATGTCAGTAAAGTAAGTTAGGGTCCGCTCTTCTGGTTTAGCAGAAAATTAAAAATGCAGGTTAATAGCTGATGAAGGAAAGGAGTATAGACTTTAATTATTGTTCTTATTTTTTGACACAGTGTCTCGCCCTCAAACTCTCCATTCTTCTCACCTCAGCCTCCCAAGTAGCTGGGATTACAGATGTGTGCCATCATGCCCAGCAACTTTAATTTTTAATAATAATTTCACCTTAAATGTATGAATTCTCTGTGGGAGCAGGTGTGACGTAGTCATACAAATTATTGTTGACAGATGCTGAGGCAGTCCTTTAACTTTCAGTAACATTACGTGATATTTTCTCTTTCATTTTTTTTACAAGTGAAAACATAAAATTTTGTTTTAAGGGTCTACTAATTTTAAGTTGTTAACAAATGTAGGTGACACACCATAAAAATGTGGAAAGATACATATTTTGAGGAAGATAGAGATAAGAATGGCTGGAGAAAATCTATTTTTAAGAAAAGGCTATTCCTTGTTTTAATATATCAGCTTCAGAATTTCTAGTTTTCTAAAGTGGTAAAAGGTTAGGTTTTGATATGAGTAATTGTGCTATTTGTTCTAATTGATGATCCAAGAATAGTCCCTCCAACAAACATATTTGGAAAATTTGAGAAGGTAATGATCACTGCCAGTCACAGTAAGCAGTCCCAAAGGGAGAAGTATAGTAGGAAGACCCACTTTTACAAGAGGAATCAGATAAGGTGATTCTATGCCCCTTTCTTGACTTTCCTGTCAATTTCATTCTCAGCTAGACTCTTTGGTAGAGGGTTATACTAGAAGTTTGTTGCATTGCAAAATGGCATAAGGAAACTGCTTTCCCACAGCCCTACTCATTTCTTTACCAAGAGAGATCCCACTGTTTTCATACGTTTTCTTCTAGAAACCTTGAGGACCCCATGGTAGAGGGTACTCATGCCCCTGGCCTCCCTCCTTCCAACCACACTTGATTCTTGCTTTCTAGTGTAGTGATGACAGTAGTGACATCACAGCAAAGTAGGTCTGAGACAGAACTTCAGGCTTCCTACCTCTTTCGTGTGGAAGGAAAGCAAGGCCTCAGAAATGAACCCTGGCTCCTTCGGCAGCTGATCAGGACTCCAGGCAAGTGCACTTCAGTGCTGAAAGACTTCTTGTCATCTGAGAGATATTTAGGAGATATTTCAAAGGGAGATTGAAAGAGAAAAGGGCAAGAATAGGGCAGACAAAACTGCTGTGTGAGCAAAACATATGAGAAGGAGAGGAGTTAGGAAGTATTGTTAAGGGCACAAATACAGCTTTCATAGTGTGTGAAAGATATGAGTAGAGATGGCATGATTGGAATTAATTGGTGGTAGCTAAGCTGCTGGGATTTTTTTCTTTGTCTTGCTTTGGGAAAAGAGGAATTAGGATTGTGATAAGCACCTTTCGGGAGAAAGTTTTACAAAATTACCAAAGATTTAGAATCTGTTGATTTTCATGTCCAAAGGAATGAGTTTTTATTATCCTTAGTGATTAGTGCCTCAAAATATTGTGATGACCAGAGCCTAAGAACTCTATATAATAACCCATAATAATAGTTTTTTCAGTGTTTATGTATGTATTGCATTTTGAATTTCCTGAATGGTACTCTGCATTATAATCTATTTAGAAAGTGTATCCACTGTGGTATTATGGAAATTCAACAGTGCTCACCTTGGGGCTTGGCAAGACAGTACTTGAACAGGATTCTGTCCAAGAATCATTGGCAAAGAGGAAAACAAAAACGCTCCAACTCTCTTTTTGTTAGGGTACTGATAAGATCTGCTTTGTAGTAGTATACAGTTGGTATGTGAAACATTGATGCTTTCCTTTCAAGAAGACTAGGAGAATAAAGAAAGGGACATTAGATTTTTTTTTTTAAAGGATATGTCCTTAAGACAACTACAGTCTTAGCTGTTTTGTGCTGCTATAACAGAATGTCTAAGACTGAGTCATTAACATTAAACAGAAATATACTGGTTCACAGATCTCGAGGCTGGGAAGTCCAAGATCAAGTGTCAGGAATCTGGTAAAGGTCTTTTGCTGTACTATCCTATAGAAAAAGGCAGAAGGTTTGCTTCAGAGGGAAAGGGGGCTAAACTCACCCATTAGTCAGGAACTCACTCCCACAATAATGACACCAATCTACTCATGAGGATAGAGCCATCTCACCCCAGTCATACAGCAAAGGTTCCACCTCCTTAATAACCTTCAGAATGGCAATCACATTTCATTACGAGCTTTGGAGGAGACAAATACCTAAATCATAACACCTGTAAGTCCACTTTTTTTCAAGTATACTTTTTTAAATTCTTTTTAGAGACAGGGTCTATTATAGCCCAAGGCTGACCTTGAACTTGGAAGCATTCTGCCTCTACCTCCCAAGCTCTAGGATTATAGATATGAACCACAATGTCCGATTCAAATGTACTTTTTAAAATTTATTTCTCTTAGTGTTTGTGCTTACTGTTTACTGATTCCTCAGTTGGAAAAGTATTTAAGGAATGGTAATCAGTTGAAGCACATTCCCATATCATATCTGTTCATAGATTCAGTTGAATAGAAAATACTTGTTCACTAGAAAGAGTATGAGAAAAAAGACACAGAAGTGCAAAACTGCAGTTTACAATTTGTCCTTCATTCCATCTAGTGCTGACTAAAATTAGTAAATTCCAGATTTTGTGCTTTGGGGGAAAGTGTTATAGATTCAGCTTAACTTCACAGTCACTTATGGGGGGATACTTGTACAAAGAGGCACTCCGTTAATCTCTCTACGGATTGCATCTTTAGTGAAGATGCAGTGTTTATATTTATTGTTTAGGTGCTACCTACAATAGATAAAGCTGGAATGGTAGGTTGGGGTTCTTTTAGTGTAGGATTTTACTTGTGAAAGAATAAGACTGGTTTATTATGAATAAATTGCCATTTACAGTTTATGAGCTGGGGAATGACATGGTCAGAGATGTTAAGGCAAGTGAATTTGGAAGCAGGTTGGATGGAGTAGAGAGCTGTTTTACAGTGATAGCTGGAGACTATGTGGGAGCTAATGTTGAAGTAGGTTTGGCATTGGGAACACAAAGGACGTTCTGTATGTAGAATCTACAAAATTTGGCCGCTCAAATCCTGTATGAGGGATGAAGGGAAGGGAATTTAACATTAGTAGCTTGGTTTCTTAAGAAAATTTCCCCTCTTATTCATTTTATTGATTTAACATGGTGGTACAAGGATTTCAATAGGGAATTTAACTTTAGAGTCTGGATAATAAACTGGGTTTTAACTATGTTGAGTTTGTAGTGCTGACAAGATAGGTTTTAGAAGGCATTTTCAAATTTGGTTCTGCAGTTCAAGAAAGCATATTGTTTAGATGTCAACAGATTTTTTTTATCAGTGAAGTAAGTTGGTATAAGAAAAAAATGAAATAAAAGGTCATAATTGTTAACTTAATTGAGAAGTTCACTCATTCAGCATTTCTTTTCATTTTTAAAAAATATACATACTTGTCACAAGAAAATTGTAATGAAAGCACCAGTTTTTTGACTTACCCTTCAATGCCACATTTAAGTAGTAGAGACTAGCAGTGTTCTTCTCAAACTTACTACACACAATAGCTTCCTGGAGAGTTTGACCAGACACAGATTCTGTAGTTCTTTCCTGAAGATGTGAGGTGCCACCCCAGAAATGCTATTTCTAACAGGCTCTCAGATGATGCTGATACTGCATATCTGAGCCATTTGGAGTAGCACTGGAGTGACACATAGGTCATTCACTCCAGAATTAGTAATTTAGAAAGCACTTAGTCTCAATATGTGGAAAGAATTGAAAATCAAAGCAAAATGTTATATATTATTCAATCCATTTGCCATAACATCTCAGCTAATAAGAATTAAGATTTCATAATTAAAGTGTTAATTATCAATTAGTTAGAAAACAATTGACATACCTATCCTGATAAAATGTTATATCATTTTGTATATATCTTTTGTAGTGTCATGAAGGATTCTCTTTGCATCAAGACACTTTCTTAATCTTTTATTATTTTTACTTACCCTCAATAAATGACTTGGGAATTTAAGGAACATGAGTTCTTCCTTTTGTAATTGGAAAATTTCCCTAAAATTTCAGGAAATTGTTTATATTGTAAAGTTGTAAGTGAGAGATTATTTGAGAATAGCAAAATAACAGTTGGCTAAAAGTTTGGAAATAGATACCTTTATACTGTTACGATAAAGGTTCAGAGATAAGTATCATTCTCAACACTTTTAGTATTGTAATATTTGTGATACTTAATTTTGGATGTACTTTGGCTTTCTTCTAAGCAAGACTTAACTTTTTAAAATGTCTTTTAAGTTATTGGAATTGCCAGATGTACTCAAAAGTAAAAAAACTGTTTCCATAAATTTCTGTAATTCAAACTTTTCACTAACTCATTTATTAATTTTCTGTGTTTATATTGTACTTCGCTCTTTATTCGTGTTGGAAGAATATTCTCATTTTTTCCAATGTGGCTTAGAAAGATTTTGTAAATTCCTTTTTAAAATTTAGACATTTCTGAAGGTTTTATTCTATTGAGATAATGTTCATCATACAATGAAAAGTTCATAGATCTTAAGTGTTTGGTTTAGTGAGTTTTAATGCTATGTAGACAAGATACATAACATTTTAATTCTCCCTCCAAAATTCCCTTGTGCCCTTTTCCTTTTTTTTCACCCCCTGCTCCTACCTGGAAACCAGCTTTGATTTTTGTCACCATGGAATATATTTGCCAGAATTTCAATTTCATATCAATTTAATTATATAGTATGTATGCTATATTTGAATGTGCTTCTTTTGCTCACTGTAATAAGTATTCATTTTATGTTATTAATTGTATCATAGCTTTTTTTTCTTTTGTTGAGTAGTATTACTTTATGCGGAATAAGCATTTATGGTTCCAGTTTTTGGCTTTTTAAAATAATATTATAAAGATGTGTCTTTTTGTGAATGTGTGTTCTTAGGTTCTATTTCTCTCTAGATAAAAATCAAGGAGTGAAAATTTTTGGTCATGGGGTAGACATAAACTGCCACATAGTTTCCTGCCAGCAGTGTATGAGAGTTTCAGTTTTTCTATGTCTTTCCCAACATTTGGTGTTATTTCTTTAAAAAAAAAAATTTAGTCATTTGTAAGACTCATTTAGTATTTTATTGTGATCTTAGTTTATATTTTTCTAATAACTAATGAAAAAGTTGTAAGGTCACATGAACATCTTCTTCTTGTCAATTTTGGTTGGAAAAGTATATATTCAGGTATTTTTCCCATGATTTTTAATTAGTTTATCTTATTACTGATTTGTAGGGTTGGTTTTTTTTTTTTTTTTTTTTTGTATATTCTGGATACAAGACCTGCCACACTTTCTTAGGGGTGTCTTTGGTGAGTGTAAAGTTTTACAATTTGATGAAAGTCAGTTTACCAGTTTTGTGTCATCTCTTAATCTTGGTCTTTTGGCTAAGACCAAGTGTAGTTTTATGTCATATAGTTTGTGCTTTTTTGTTTACTGTCACAGTAATCTATGCATACCCTAAAAGGCAAAAAGTATTGTCTTTTGTTTTCTTGGAGACATTTTATGGTTCTGTGTCTTTTCTCGTTTTTGCAGTGCCAGGGATAGATCCCAGGGCGTTATATGTGCTAGGCAAGCACTCTACCTCTGAGCCACATCTCTAGCCATTGTTTCTGTTGAGACAGCCTTGCAGTGTAACCCAGGCTAGCCTAGCGCTCCAGTCCTTCTACCTCTGCCTCTCAAAGACTACGATTAAAGGTGCATGCCACCATGCTCAAGCAGTTCTGTATTTTATGTTTGTGTCTCTGATTCATCCTGAATTAATTTTTCTGTAAGGAATGAGATAGCAATTGTAGCAATTGAGGTTTTTAGAGTTTTTTTCTTTTTTATTCCCACATAGATACCCATTTGTTTAAAAACCATTTGTCATAAATATTGCTATAGTTTGGATCTTGAACATCCCCTAGAGCTGTGTATTGAAGGCTAGGTCCCTTGCCTGTGGTGCTATTTGGTGGTAGAGGAACCTTTAGATGGTAGAAGAAAGTTAGGTCATTGAGGGTATATTCTTGAAGGGGCTGTGGGGACCCTGATTCTTCCTCTGTCTTTGCTTTCTGTCTGCCATGAAGCCTTTTTTGCCACAGGCCCAAAGAAATAAGACCAGCTGCTCATAGACTGAAACTTCCAAAATTGTGAGCCAAAATAAACCTTTCTTCCTTATAATTTGATTTATCTCAGGTATTTGTTATATTAACAGAAAGCTAACATAAAATACATTTCTCATTGAATTGTTATGATACCTTTGTTGAACATTAGTTGACTATGTATGTATGGTCTGTTTCTAGACTTTATTCTGTTCCACGAAACTATTTGTGTATCTTTATGCCAATACTACAGCACAGTGATTGCTTACTGGTTACTTACACTAAGTCTTGAAATATAAATATTATAATAAATTGCTTCTTTAAAAAGTGCTGGAATTTTGATAGGGGTTGCATTACTATATCACTATGGAGAAAATGGACATGAATCCTACTATCCCTGAATTTATTTGTTTCTGTTTGTTGAGGTCCTTGTTTTCTCTAATGATATCTTATGGTTTTTAGTGTAGAAGCCTTACACATCCTCCGTTTGGTTTATTGTGGAGTGTTTTGTCATTGTTATTTTAGGCTGTTGTTAATGGCAACTTCGTAAATTTTTTATTTTGTATATTTTTGCAAGATTTGCTGATTTCTTAATTTTGAGTTCTTTGCTTCCAGTAGAATGAGTTCTTCCATCTACTGCAAAATACACTTCAGTTGAAGTGAAAAATGGAAATCAGTTAAAATGAATGAATTTGTGACACTAGTTTTAGAACATGCCTCTATTAGTAAGGAGTATAATTTTGCTGTTTGAGTGGTGAATGTCCTCAGAACTCCCTGTTGTTTTTAAGATTCCGGTGGAATTATTCTGAGAAGTAAAGGAAGTCCATGTTTTATTTATTTATTTATTTTGGTCTGTTTCTGGTTTTGCAATGACATAGTAATCCTTTAGAATATAGAATGCTTTAAATTATACCTATCTTTGATTTGATGAATGAATGTATGAAGTTGGGATAGCTTTGGGCTCTCCACAGTGGGAAGGTTTGGCTAATGGAAAATATTGGAAAAAAGGATAAGAAATAAAATAAATCTTGACAACAAGAGAAAAATGCCTGGTGCTTGAATGATGATGATGAAGAAGAAGAAGAGGAGGAGGAGGAGGAATGATTGAGCCTGCCTCCTACAGGAAGTCTCAGATTTAGAAATTATAGGAAAAAAATAAACATACTTTCTGGGATTGAGAAGTCTTAAAACCTAAAGGGGCTTTTTTACCCCCCATTGGCAATAAAGAGTCATACCAGATTTTTGAGATAAAGAACATAAGTAATTTTGACACCATTTTATTAATAGACTTAGTCATTGAGGGCCAAGTGTTGTGGTGAACAACCACTTGAAAGATGGAGATAGTTCAAGACCAGCTCAGGCAAAAAAGTTAGTAAGACCCTGCTTCAAAACACAAGTGCATGTCTGTAATTCTAGCTACTTGGGAGGCAGTGGTAGAAGGGTTGTAGTCCTTGGCTGGCCCCAGGCTGAAGTCTGAGACCCTAATTTCTCATGGTTTTAAAAACAAACTACAAAAACTCAGTCACTTAAAACAGAAATTTATTCTTTTACAGTTTTGTAGAATAGGAAGTTGAAAGTCTGTATAATTGAACTGAGACCAAGGTATAAGCAGAGAGGGCTACACTCCCTCTGGAGGCTCTGGAGGAAGAGAAATCTCTTGTCTCTTCTAGCTTCTGATGACCATAATGTTCCTTGGCTTGTGGATGCATTGCTCTAGTCTTCAAGACCAACACTGTCTTCATATTACTTTATCCCCTGTGTTTGTCAGACCTCCTTCTGCCTCTTTCTTATAAGAATACTTTGATTACATTTAGAGTCCCCTTGGATCATTCAGAATAATCCCACCATTTCAGAATCTTTAACTTACATACATCTGCAGGTTTCTTTCTTCCTTTCTTTCATTTTCTAAATAAAGTAACATACATACGTACCAGGGATTTGGACTTGATATCTTTGGGGACCATTATCTGCCTAATACTGGTTGTATTACTTCTTTTTAGACCTTCATTTTGCTTTGGAACTTGCTGTCAAAACAGATTGGTCTGAAGCTTTTAGCACCCCAAATGACATACTTATTTTCTTGCTATAATTGTCATTTTATAACAGAACACATCCATTAAATGGATGTCATGAAATGATATTGAATTCTTGTAACAGAACAGAAGAGACTTAAAAGCCTCTGATTGTAAGCTACTTATTTCAGTAGTAATCAAGAAAAATACCAAATTAGGGAAAGATATTAAATTGAATTTTTGGCTATCATAGAACTAATGTGTAACTCATAATAAAATTTTGTGATGGCTTTTAGTTTGGGGTAGAGAGGAACTAATTCCTTGTATCATAGGGCTTTCTTGGTCAGGTTGGTACATGACTGTGTCTACCAAGTAGACTTTCTGTAGTGGCCTGTTAGAAACTATCTAGTTTTAAATCTGTACTCCTGCTCTAAATTAGAAGCTTAGAATGATTTCTCCAGGGCCTTACTTAATGTTTGTAACATATTGATATTAAGAGTTTACACAGGTAAATATACCTTAAATGTGTACTGGTGGCATTAATTATGTTTGTTACATGTTATAACATTGAATCAGAGAAAGGTTGTTATACAAATCATCTTCACAAATAATGTTGGAGGGATGCATCAGCAAAGAACTTTAATGCAGGCCAACTTTGTTTTGGCTTTGGGATGTTGCTTGGATATCCCGACTCTTAAGGATATGCAAGTAACTTTTATGGGCATCATAAATAAGTCATGGCCAGATTAGAAACAATTAAGCTTTTCTTTCTTTTCCTTTTCTTCAGTCACTATTTTAGTTTGAGTATTTAAATATTGATAATTGATACTTTCCCTTGCCAAAGGGAAAGTAAAAGCCTAATTCTCCTTTGGTCCTATAATCTTTCTTCTAGTACATTTGATGTTTATTCCTCTTTGTAACCAAATATCAGACTAGCTTTTGGTCTAGTAGTAAGGATCATCAACAGTATGGAGAAGTTCATCTTGGAAATTGATCCACACTTAAAGGCAATTTCCATGATATAAATTAGAAACTTGCATCCTTGCTGCATTTGGGACTTGAAATTGAAGTCAGTTACTTGCCACAATTCACTGAGTAACTTTGGCCTTAGAAACTTGAATAAAAAGTGACATGCTACTTACAAATTTTGATGTCTGCAAAGCTATGAGTGAATTTATATGATTGTATCATTAATTGCTGAATATATGAACCATCAACACTGATGTGTCATGAAATGTGAATGTAGCTATTCTACTGCAAAAACTTGAAAAATTAGTAAGAAAACTTGAAAAATAAAGAAAATTAGTAAAGAAGTAAAACTATTTTACAGTCAAGGGAAATTCCTGTTTCCTTTGAAATTAAAATATTTTCTTAATACATTTGATAAAACTTGCAGAATAATTGCTGGCTGAAAATTCTGGATAAATATTTCCAAGTGGTTCCTTCTTTATTTGAGAATGAAAAAAATTACATACCTAAGAATCTGCTACTATGACCATATTTTAAGTAAAATGTCTCTAGAAACTGTTCCTCATTCCTTTGAAAGGTTGCTAAAAAGCAAATGACTTACTGATTCTTTCACAACAACTGCTAGATAAAAAGAAAAGGGAGAACTGTATGGAAAAGAAAAGGAAGGAAGGGGATAGTATAAATGAGGTGTGCAGCGAACCATATTTATATTAGCATTTGAGAATTAATGAGTTGCTGCAAAACTGTTTCTGAGTAAATAACATTGAAGAAAATCACTGGATAGGAAAACATTAACATTTTCTTAGAAAACTCACAGGAGAAGGAGTCTTTAATGAATTTATATTCATAAATTTTAATGGATTTTTCTGAAAGTTGTTTCTTACAAATCTGCCCTAGAGTAAGCAATTTTTAATAAAAATTTGGGAATTTATGACTTTAAAATCCTTGAGGCTGAGAAAGAATATGAAAGGCCTTGTAGTTTTATAATCAGATACATTGTTAATTTAAGTTATGATTGTATAATCTAATTTCATAGGAAAAACTAGTAGTTTGTTTTACAATGATATATGCCGCCAAGTATATTATATAAAGAAAGCTTCTTATGCTGCAGAGTTTGTGCTCTTTTTCATGTTCTGTTCATCTGCACGTACCTATTTCTATTTGTGTTAGTCATCTTCTCTAGGCAAATTGTCCATGAGATCAATGATTCCATGAGCAAATTATCCAGAAAATGCTGTCTTTGCACGTTGTGACAGATCATGTCACTGGTGGATTTATAGCTACTCCAATGGTCTAATTAACCTGGCAGTTGTCTCCTGTGCCCAACACTGTTGTCTCATTGCCTTGGCATCTTAGTTTTCATCTTCTCATTATCTTTTTTCTTAACTAAAGCTCAGATTTACATTTTTTTAACCTTCCCTCACTCAACACTATTAACCTACTCCCTTATTTTTGATTGGCAGTATCATCCAGATAAACAAAGTACAGATGTGCCAGCAGAAACAGTGGAGGAATGTATACAGAAGTTCATCGAAATTGATCAGGCATGGAAAATTCTAGGGAATGAAGAGACAAAAAAAGAGTATGACCTGCAGCAGCATGGTAGGTACTTAGGGTAAGGAGCCACAAGCTATGGGCAACTCTTTGAGGCACAGTCTGCAGCCACTCCTGGGGAACATTTTCCAGCATTTTCACCAAGTCATTGCTGCCTTTACCCTCTGGTCCATTCTTAGTAGTGATTATTGTGTATTCTATGAGAAGTTAACAAAACTACTAGGATGTGGCTTCTTGTAAGGTGTGAAAGCTGCTTTTTGTGACTACTGAAAAAATGTTAATTATACATTTTAATTTAATATGTTTTATATGTGTAAAAGTTTATTAAATTTAATTATGTATGTATTAACTTTTTAATTGTAGTACTTCTGAGACTGTGTTGTATAAATGACATTCTAAAAGAAGATACCATATAGAAAAACATCATAAAGCAATCTGTTGTCTTTGAGCTCATTTTAGGCTAGGTTTCAGATTATCTCCAGGATAAACTATTCTTTATGAGATTGTTACAATGATGCCGTCGGAATGCATATTGCCCAAGCAATTTTAAAAGTCATTTCTTTTATGCTTTCAGAAAATAGCTTCTTAAAACAGTGACATGCTGTTGTGAGAAAGAAAGGGAGAAATGTAGGTCAGGTTTGTCACACATGGACTATAGTTATAAGAAGTGATAGGCTGTCTTTCAGCACTGGCTTTGGGAAAGGAGTCCCTCAGCCTTCTATCTGAACCTTCAATATGCAGCCTAGATATTAATGGGGAAGTCAATAATCAGTTACAGCCTGTGGGAAAAAAAACACTCAATTGCTCTCTCCAATAGCACATCAGGCTCAGAATTGACTGGGATGTGTTGATAAAAGCCCACTATCTGTGTAGTTGATTATTGAATCCTCTTCTTGACCTGCACTGGCACATCATCAAACCTCACCAAATGATTTTAAGGCTCCTGCTACTAAGGTTATGAAAATTTGATTTCAGAAGTAAGGCTTTATTTCTAAACACATCATTATAGGATAAAGCCAGATATATTTATAAAACATCGTACATGTTTTCAGAGGAAGTTGTATTAGTAAAGTATTTCTGTTTTAGTGGATCTTACTGCTTTGTGAAAAGACTTAATGAGCTATTCATTTATGTACTGGAGTGTTTGTTTTTAATAATGATTTACTCATAGCATTAATGACCTCAAAGGTCCTTTTACTTTTTTAAAGACTGATGAGCTTTTTTTTTAAAAAAAATTAAGAACCTGGTATTTGTACTTTTTTAAAGAATTTGCATTGATTTTCAAATATGGGTTGACTGTTGGGTCTTTTCTTTGGTATAGGTATCTCTTTAGTAAATGCGTACTTCTTGCGAAAGAACTTAGAAGTGTGTTCATATGAGAAGCTCTGTCCATAGATCTTTCAGTCTTGCTTTACATGGTATAATCTCTATGAAAGTACAGAAGCTAATGTACCTGAGTATGTTGTATGTGAGGTAGTCCATGTTCCTAAAGGCACCAGGTGCTACTGGAGGTGATGGTTCTCCCATTGTGTTTTTGTACATCTTTACTGTGTGGTGTGCCAGTTTGCTTAAGAATAATTCATACAAAACTGCATCCTAAAGAGAGTAGGTCATATATTTTCAGTGTCAGTTTGCATTTTTACCACTCCATAACCTTTGTACTATAAAGAACATATCAGTGAAATTGATTAGAAGTCTGCTGTATGAAAACAAAGGGGTAGGGAGAGATCAGTAGTCATAAAATATTCCCTCAGTAAGATATAGAGTAGGGTAGAGTAGAAATGGAAAGAAATAGAAAACTAGACTTAAAATGATTATAGAATTGCATGAAGGAAGCTTTAAGAGATGTTAAAAGTACAAATAATTAACATCTTCAAAGAAGTTCTTGGAATTGTAAATTTCTTTTGAGTTTTGAATGCTTGGTTTTAAGCTTTTAATAAGGAAGCACCTGTGGCCTACTGTATGACAGGGGGCTCTTGTAGGTAATTGATTGAGATCACGATGAAGTTTAGACAGATCACAGTGAGAAGTGAGCCTGATTCATGATTCAGATAAGAAACCTGAAATTTATGTAATGCCAGTTTGCTTTGCAAGTTTTTTGGGTAGGTAGTTACTGAATTAAGCTATTCCAAAAGGACAGTAGACATATAATTGTAATGACACTTTAATATCTCAGATCTAAGTATTAAGTATGACCTTCTTTATCAGAAACTCCCAATAGTGAGTGCTGTGTCTCAACTTTAAATGAAGACTAGCCTGCTGTTAAAAACAAAACAAAAATATAACTTTCTGTTTTTAAACCTTTCATACCAGAGCTATTTTTCAAAAATCTGAAACCTACTTTTGATTGTTTATTTGAATACCAATATTAATTTTTCTTCTTCAGCAACCTTCAATAAATGGCTTCTCAAATAAAGGAAATGAACTTGATCTTATAACTGTGAGAATTTAGATTTGATATGAGGAAGACCTTTAAGACTAATTGTTAAGACCAGGATAGGTTACCAAGAGAGAGAGAATTGTGACAGCCAGGTCAAAGCACTGTTTGTTTGTTTTTTTCCTGGGTCACCACCCCCCCACCTCAGACATGGAAATAACTTTTGTTACACAGAACTCTTTTTTTACATGCAGTGATAATTCATTTTGATAGGGTATGCTTTAAGTATGTTGGTTTCTTGCCTGACATTAATTTATCTCTAAATTAAATTTGACCTCCTTAATAGTTGGGAAGGATGTAAGAGTTGCTTTTATTGGCTGATGTTGAATGCTTTTCATATTTCACAGCTCAGAATTGGTGCTGTTATAAAGAAAGCCTCATCAATATTGCCCATGGTTGTATAAGAAAGGAGCCCCTGGCATTCATATCAGAGAAACTATCAAATGGGTTATTTCTAATAGAGAAAAATTATTAATAGGGCAGGTAACCCTATTAAATACATATTTAAATACATATTTCTCCCCCCTCATTTCCACTTCCATACTCTTAGTTTGTCATTTTAGGGCAGTATCGTGCAGGCTGAAGTAAAGCAAATCTAAGAGATGGATGAGTAATACTCAGTTCCCAGAGATTATACATTTTGAAAGCAATGTTAACTAGTGAATTTAATCAATTAGTTCCAGTTGGCATATTTAACTTATTGTTTCTACGAATGCTTCCAAAGGCTGTTTCCAGTGTTCCCCTGAAAAGCATGTAGTTATTCATTCAATCAGATGAGCACTTTGGACAACCCTTTCAGGATTTATAAAATATTCACATAAATAATATCTATTGAATAGATTTTGATGCCTTTATAAATCTTGTGGGGAGTTTGCTCATATATTAAACACATTTAAACAAACACATTAGTATATCATGGGAAAATAATAGAGAACATGATTCAATAGCTTTGTAATGTGTAGTCGAACAGATCTCTGATGTGTCACTGGCTTTATAGAGTGATATAGCTTCTCTATGACCTGAAGAGGAACAAACCTTCAGGTGCAGTTAATTAGAATAAATAATGTTCAAAAAAATAAGTGGATTACATTTGGAATCCTTGCCAATATATTATTTTCTATTAAAATATAACTTGGTTCTCTATTTGTGAATTATTTTGGTAATGTGGTATCTTCATTCTGCCAACTGGTCAAGCACATAGATATCCAAAGCAGCCTGGCTCACTAGTTCACTTCATCCCTTTATTAGGAATATTAGGAAGTATTTGGGAATAAAAGATAAGGAAGTAAATCTTGAACCAAATGAGGAATGTCTCTCTGTTATAACCAGTGATCAGAAATGTCACTTGACATTCTTTTTGAGTTTTTTTCCCCTTATGTGATTTTTTTAGTCTCACAGCTACTATAGTAGTCCATCCCCAGGTTGTAACATGTACCTACCAACATGAAGCAACAGATAACTAAATCAACAGATAATTTCTTAAATTCAAAATTGGCAAATTCTTCTTAGAAAGGATATCAGGGTAAAAGACTAAACTCCACATTAGGGGGAAATGACATACTTTCAGATGTAAATAGTATGAATTTAGGTTAACTGTTAGGACTAATGACTTCAGGCCAGTAGATAATTGTGTAAATTATGTCCTAAAACTGACCCTTACAGAATACTTGAATTGGATTAGGATTTCCATTTGATTTTAGGAATTTTAAAATTGGCTGTAAAAATTTGCTTCAGGTAAAAACTTGAACATAAGTATCAGGCGGTGTGTTTTTTTGGTGACCGTTTCTGGGAAAAAGTAAAACATGAAATGAAGCAGAAAATTCATCTAGACAGTTGGGAGTGACATTATCTTGAGAGGAAGAAGTGTGTACAGATGAAACTTTCTGTGAAGGTCCCCTTCCTAATCGTATTTGTCATGAGATGGCTACTTACATTATTTTTCTTTTATTAGAAACCAAATAACTTTTTACAGTGAAAAGTTAAGCTCATTTTCATAAATTTTTAATAATTTGGCTAGTTTCAAATGATAGAAAAATCTGTGAAGATTGCAGTTGTAATTCTGGAATATGTGAACATGATTCAGGGGTCTGATTTAATAATACAAGTAAGTAGAATTTTAGGAAGTTATTGTTTCCAACATTGGCCTCTCTTCTAATTCCTACCTGATTACTTGACCCAGTTGAAATCAGTGGGTTCAAAACCAAGACCAGGCCACCCTTCTCATTGCTTGCTTTTTTTTCCCTCAGACTTGACATCTTGGTTTCATATTACCCTCTAGTTACTTCTATTTTTCTCTGTTTATAACCAGTGAATCAGAAATGTCAGTTGACATTTTTTTTTTTGAGTTTTTTTCCCTTATGTGATTTTTTAGTCTCACAGGCACTATAGTAGTCCATCCCCAGGTTATAACATGTACCCAGATTATTTCCAAAGCTGCTTAGTGGTCTTCTGTTCTCTACTGCTGTCTTCTCCCACAGTACTTCACATTTGGATTGATGTAGCTTTTTTCTATTTAAGAACCTTCATAACTCCCCTCCCTCTCAACACAACATTAATCATTTACCTGAAATTCAAATTAGACAGTAGTTTTTAAGCTTGGCCCTGTTAACTT